CCCACTTTCTCTTCTAAGAGATTCAGTGTGGCTGCATTTATGTTGAGGTCTTTGATCCATTTAGACTTAAGTTTTGTGCATGGCAATAAACATGGATCGATCCACATTCTTCTACATGCCAGTCTCCAATTATGCCAGCACCATTTGTTGAAGATGCTTTCTTTATTCCATTGTATATTTTTAGCTTCTTTGTCAAAGATCAGATGTTCGTATGTGTGTGGGTTAATACCCGGGTTTTCAATTCAATTCCATTGGTCTACCTGTTTTTTTTTTGTGCCAATACCAAGCTGTTTTCAGGACTATAGCTCTATAATAGAGCTTGAGGTCAGGGATGGTGATGCCTCCGGACGTTGCCTTGTTGAACAGGGTTGTTTTGGCTATCCTGGGTCTTTTGTTTTTCCATACAAAATTGATTATTGTTCTTTCAAGGTCTGTGAAGAATTGTGCTGGGATTTTAATGGGGATTGCATTGAATCTGTAGATTGCTTTTGGCAGGATTGCCATTTTTACTACATTGATCCTACCTATCCAAGAGCATGGGAGATCTTTCCATTTTCTGAGGGCTTCTTTAATTTCTTTCTTTAAAGATTCAAAGTTCTTACGATACAGGTCTTTCACTTGTTTGGTTAGTGTTACCCCAAGATATTTTATGTTGTTTGTGGCAATCGTAAAGGGTGATGTTTCTCTGATTTCTGTTTCAGCCCTTTTATCATCTGTATATAGTAGGGCTACTGATTTTCTTGAGTTGATCTTGTAGCCTGCCACTTTGATGGTGTTAATCAGCTGTAAGAGTTCCCTGGTAGAGTTCTTTGGGTCATTGATGTAAACTATCATATCGTCTGCAAACAGTGAAAGTTTGACATCTTCCTTCCCAATTTGTATCCCCTTGATCCCCCTTTGTTGTCGTAAGGCAATAGCTAGAACTTCAAGTACCATGTTGAAAAGGTATGGAGAGAGTGGACAGCCTTGTTTTGTTCCTGATTTTAGAGGAATTGCGTTGAGTTTCTGTCCATTTAGTTTGATGTTGGCTGTTGGTTTACTGTATATAGCTTTTATTATGTTTAAGTATGTCCCTGTTATCCCAGCTCTCTCCAAGGCCTTTATCATGAAGGGGTGTTGGATTTTGTCAAAGGCTTTTTCAGCATCTAGTGAGATGATCATGTGATTTTTGTTTTTCAGCTTGTTTATATGGTGGATTACGTTGATGGATTTTCGTATGTTGAACCATCCCTGCATCCCTGGAATGAAACCTACTTGATCGTGGTGAATGATTGTTTTGATATGTTCTTGGATCCTATTTGCCAGTATTTTATTGAGTATTTTTGCATCAATGTTCATGAGGGATATTGGTCTGAAGTTCTCTTTCTTAGTTTATCTTTGTGAGGCTTGGGGATCAAGGTTATTGAAGCCTCATAGAAGAGTTTGGCAAAGACCCTTCTGCTTCTATTTTGTGGAACACTTTGAGAAGAATTGGTATAAGCTGTTCTTTGAATTTCTGGTAGAATTCTGCACTGAGGCCATCTGGACCTGGACTTTTTTTGGTTGGGAGACTTTTGATGACTGCTTCTATTTCCATAGGGGTTAGAAGTCTATTTAAATTGCTTATCTGTTCTTGATATAGTTTTGGCAAGTGATAGCTATCCAGGAAGTCATCCATTTCCTTTAAATTTTCGAATTTTGTGGAGTACAGGTTTTCAAAGTATGAGCTAATGATTCTCTGGATTTCCTCAGAGTCTGTTATGTCCCCCTTTTCATTTCTGATTTTGTTAATTTGCGTGTTCACTCTCTGCTGTTTGGTAAGTTTGGACAAAGGTTTCTCTATCTTGTTGATTTTCTCAAAGAACCAACTCTTCATTGCATTGATTCTTTGTATTGTTTTCCTGGTTTCTACTTTATTGATTTCAGCCCTCAATTTGATTATTTCCTGGCGTCTACTCCTCCTGGGGGAGTTTGCTTGTTTTTGTTCTCTAGCTTTCATCTGTGATGTTAATTCTTTGGTATAATTGTTCTCTTGTTTCTTCATGTGAGCACTTAGTGCTATGAACTTCCCCTGTAGCACTGCTTTCAAAGTGTCCCATAGGTTTGGGTATGTTGTGTCTTCATTCTCATTGAATTTGAGGAAGTCTTTAATTTCTTTTTTATTTCCTCTTTGACCCAGGGATGGTGCAGTTGAGCATTATTCAATTTCCATGAATTTGTAGGTTTTCTGCAATTTGTGTTGTTGTTGAATTCTAATTTTAAGGCATGGTGGTCTGATAAGATGCACGGAGTTATTCCAATTTTTTTGTAGCTGCTGAGGTTTGATATGTTGCCAAGTATGTGGTCGATTTTTGAGAAGGTTCCATGTGGTGGTGAGAAGAAGGTATATTCTTTTTTATGTGGATGAAATGTTCTATAGATATCTGTTAATCCCAGTTCGGTCATTACTTCTATTAGACCCTTTGCTTCTTTGTTGAGTTCCTGTCTGGTATTCCTGTCTAGTGGTGAGAGTGGTGTGTTGAAATCTCCCACTATAACTGTGTGGGGCTTTAGATGAGATTTAAGTTATAATAATGTTTCTTTAACGAATGTGGATGCCTTTGTATTTGGGGCATAAATGTTCAAGATAGACACTTCATCTTGGTGGGTTTCACCTGTGATGAGTATGTAATGACCTCCTTCATCTCTTTTGATTGATTTTATTTTAAAGTCTAGTTTGTTAGATATTAGGATTGCTACCCCTGCTTGTTTCTTGGGTCCATTTGATTGAAAAATTTTTCCCAACCTTTAACTCTCAGGTAATGTCTGTCTTTGAGGGTGAGGTGTGTTTCTTGTATGCAGCAGAAGGAAGGGTTCTGTCTTCGAATCCATTCTGCTAGTCTGTGTCTTTTTATGGGTGAGTTAAGGCCGTTAATGTTGAGGGATATTAATGACCATTGATTGCCCATCCTTCTTCGATTTGCGATGGTTGTTGTTGGTGGAATCATGTGTGGAATTTCACCCCTTTGTTCTTTTGGCTGTTGGTAGAGAGGGATTCTCTAATGCCTATGTTTTTCTAGTTGTAGTTAGGTTCCTTGGGTTGGAGTTTTCCTTCCAAAATTTTCTGTAGGGCTGGGTTAGTGGACACATATTGCTTGAATCTAGTTTTGTCATGGAATATCTTGTTTTGTCCGTCTATAGTGACTGAGAGCTTTGCCGGGTATAGTAGTCTGTGCTGGCATCCATGGTCTCTTAGTGTAGGCAGAATATCTATCCAGGACCTTCTGGCTTTCAGAGTTTCCATGGAGAAATCAGGTGTAATTCTGATAGGTCTGCCTTTATATGTTACTTGACCTTTTTCCTTAGCTGCTCTTAATATTCTTTCTTTATTCTGTATGTTTGGGGTCTTGATTATTATGTGGCGAGGGGATTTTTTTTGTGGTCCACTCTATTTGGTGTTCTGTAGGCTTCTTGTACCTTCATTGGCATGTCTTTCTTAAGGTTGGGAACGTTTTCTTCTATGATTTTGTTGAATATGCCTTCTGCCCCTTTGAGGTGGATTTCTTCTCCTTCTTCTATACCTATTATTCTTAGGTTTGGTCTTTTCATGGTGTCCCATATTTCCTGGATGTTTTGTGTTAAGGATTTGTTGGATTTAAGGTTTTCTTTGGTTGATAAATCCATTTCTCCTAGTGTATCTTCAACACTTGAGATTCTCTCTTCCATCTCTTCTATTCTGTTGGTAATGCTTGTATCAGTAGTGCCTGACTGTTTGTCCAGCTTTTCTATTTTCTGCCTTCAGATTGTGTTTTTTTTAATGTCTCTATTTCAGTTTTCAACCCTTGCAGTGTTTGCATTGCTTCTTGCAATTTTCTGTTTATCTTTTCGTCCATTTATTGCCTTTTATGCATTTTTTGGTTTGTTCTTTCTTCCATTTCTTGCATTTTTTGGTTTGCTTTTTCTTCCATTTCTCGCATTTTGTGCTTTGTTTCTTCTTCCATTTCCTGCCTTTTTTGGTATGTTTCTTCTTCCATTTTTTCATTTTTTGCTTTGTTTTTTGTTCCATTTCTTGCATTTTTTTGCTTTGTTTCTTCTTCCATTTCCTGACTTTTTTGGTATGTTTCTTCTTTGAATTCTTGCATTTTTTGCTTTGTTTTTACTTCCATTTCTTGCATTTTTGCTTCATTTCTTCTTCTATTTCCTGCCTTTTTTGGTTTGTTTTTTCTTCCAATTCTTGCATTTTTTGGTTTGTTTTTTCTTCCAATTCTTGTATTTTTTGGTTTGTTTTTTCTTTCATTTCTTTGAGGGATTTTCCTATATCCTCTTTTAGGGCCTCTATCATTTTCATGAGAGTGCTTTTATGGTCGTTTTCTTCTGCTCCGTTCTTATTGGAATGTTGGGGTCTTACTGGTGTGGAGTCTCTAGAATCTGGCAGTGTCATATTTGTTTTTCTGTTGCTGGGTGTGTTTTTGTATTGTCTCTTTCCCATGTCTTCCTCTAGTGGGTGCAGAAAGAGCCCCTTACTGGTCTTGGGACCACAGTTCCCTTTTGGTGGGTGCTAGCAAGTCCAATATTCTGGTGGTTCTTCTATTCTTTGTCCAAGTGCTGGTCTTGTGGGTGCAGAAGAAGAACAGGAATCTAGGGCACTTAGCCTCCTACCTGGTCCCCTGGACCCTATGCTGGGTCCTGTTGTACCTGATCTGGAACTGCTACTCCCCTGGTCTCCCTGGCTCCTCTGGTTTCCTGGTATTGTTGGCAGGAGAGAAGACCTGGAATCTGGGGTGTTTGGCTCCCGCCGGGATTGGGAGCTCTGTGCAGTTCCCAGGCAATCTACAGGCACTTGAACACAGGCCGGGAAGCTGGCCTGTTTACCTGATGCTGCAGGAGGAACAGCTGCTTCCCTGGACTCTCAGCCTCCTCTGGTTTCCTGGTCTCGTTGGTGGGAGAGAAGATCTGGAGTCTGGGGTGCTTGGCTCCCATCAGGATTGGGAGCTCTGTGCAGTTCCCAGGCGATCTGCAGGCACTGGAACACAGGCCGGGAGGCTGGCCTGTTTACCTGATGCTGCAGGAGGAACAGCTGCTTCGGGTGAATACATTTTTAATGTCCATGTCATGGATTAATTTGGTAAGTACCAGAATTTTATGAATACACTATGAAAGAAGCATACATGTACAGTGCAATTATCACATGTCCTTTATTACACACATGTGGGTTGCTTTAGGAAGCAGTGGGCTTTGCTGAATCCTTCCCAGAAAATCTCTACAAAGATGTGATTCTGGAGACCTTCAGCAACCTCTCTGCCACAGGTGAGACTGAATTATCCTTCATGATTTAAAATAAGTGGAAGTCTGTTTCTTTGTTGTTGATGATCTTCTGTAATTTTGATTGAGAAAAGGGAAACTTAGGTGAATAAGGCATAGTTCTAATGTTCATTGACAATATTAACTTAAATTTGATGCAATTTCCTTTCATATTTCATGTATTTTCTGGTATTGTATTTTAGGCGACAAGTGGAAGGATCATAATATTGAAGAACCTTGTGACAGTTATAGAAGAAATACAAGGTAATTTTCATGTTCAAGCGTTCAAGCTCATGCAAATTTGTATTACACCCCATCGAGATCTGTATAGAAATGCAAATCCTTTTAGTTTCATACTGCTCAGATATTTTAAACAGTATACAAATTGAAGAGGTGATATGTTTATGTCCAAGAACTTTTTAGGAAAAAATTTTCTATAGTAAATCGGTCTTTAATCGCATGTTTGTGACTTTGCTAAGTATATTGAAAGGCTCAGAATGTGAGAGTCAAGAAGGTTGTTTTTGAGGAACCTTAATCCCTATATGACCTGTCTCTGAGGAAAAGAAAGCCAAATTGTGGGAATTAAATGTGCAAACAATTTGTTATTCTTGCTTCAGTAAGAGTATATTGTCCAGAGGGGCAGTGGTAGTGCATGCCTTTAATTCCACCACACAGGAGGGAAAGGTGTCTGATTTCTGTGAGTTGGAGGCCAGCCTGGTCTACAGAGTGTATTCTAGGACAGAATCCAAAGGTTCACAGAGAATCCTATCTCAAAAAATCCACGAAAAAAATGAATATCACATATCACTCTAAATACAAGCTATGTGAGCACAGAATATGGAAAGAAGCAATGTAGTCCCCCTCACTCTCTGGGTAACTAGAAAATATGAATGTTATTTAGTAGTTCCTCACCTTGAGTAGCTGTGTTAAATGTGATACTATATTACAATTAATTGGATTTCCAACTTCCTTGGGAAGATATCAAAGAACTCACACTCCAGAAAAGCCCTTGAGTCTTGGAATGTGTAAATACATTCATTTGTCCTGGTACATTCAGCTAATGAAATATAATTCAAAATACAGGAAATCTAATGAATGCAGTAAGTATGACAAAGCTCTGGGTTCAGACAGTTTTTCTTAGATATGTGAAAAATCTCACATAAATAAGATGCCATAAATGTGGGCCATAAAATGAAGTCTCTAACTCTCTGTCTCAGGTATCTTTATAGCCAGAAAGCAACCCCTCATGAATTTAGGCATAATGAATATAAAACTTAAGTACTGATTCATCTTTACAATTAGGCAAAATTTTAAATTCAGTGTATAGAGACACCACGATTCATCAGTATAATGGAAGTGGTAAAGCTTTTTCATGTGCCAATTCTCTTTGCAGGAATGAGCCAAGCCATACAGGAGAGAAACCCTGTGAATACACTCAATGTGTTAAAACCTTTGTGTGTTGCAGGCATCTTCAAAGACATGAAAACATTCATACTGGAAAGAAACCATATGAAGGTGACCGTGTGAATGAAACCAATGTGGTAAAGCCTTTGTAAGAAATCACACTGCTGCTGGGTGGTGGTGGCGCATGCCTTTAATCCCAGTACTCAGGACGCAAAGGCAGGCAGATCTCTGTGAGTTCGTGGCCGGGCTGGACCTACAGCTTCCAAAACAATACAGAGAAACCCTGTCTTGTAAACAAAAAAAACAAACAAACCAACAAACAAAAAAGAAATCACACTGCTGAGAAACCCCTTAATTGTAAGCAGTGTGGTAAAACTGTGCACTCTGCATAACTCAATAATCTGTGAGATCCTGAAAAATTTAATACTGAAGGAAATCTTGGTATAAAGATTTTGGTAAGATCTTCAATGAACGCATTTAGTTACACATGATTCTTCAGTGCAAAACTTCTGACAAGTGTCACCAATCTGTTTAAACATTGTGTTGTCTCTGTTTTGTTTGCACCTGCAACCTCATATGGACAAAAGTCCTATGAGTTCACTGATAAGGTAACCCTTTTTGTTTTCACGCTTTTCTTTAATTGCAGAAAAAAATCATTCAGATTACTTGATTTCTCTAAATTTAATCCCATGTGCTTGCTTTCTGTTCCATGAACCAATGTATGATGAAGGGAAACTGTTAAGGCTTTAAACGCCTCAATGCCTGGGATACAGGAATGAGTGTGTACAAGAGAAAATCTTCACCTGTGATCATCTGTTTGGTTAGAGAATTGATTGAATTTAATTATGTGATGTCAGTGTTTGGGTTTGTGATGGGTCATGTGAGTTCCCAAGAAGGGTAGACCCTTGTGTTTTTCTGTAGCAGAGACTATATACATTTCTTAAAACCCTGACCTAGTTTCTGTGGCAATGAACTTGTAATAATTTTTCTCATCCTTATCTCTAACCCCGTTCATATTTTGCTTTATATAAGGTAATGAGGAAGAAGCCATGGAAGAGAAATCCCTATTCATGTGAATAATTTTGTAGAGACTTTAGAGTTCATACTTGTGTTCATTTTCAATAAAATGTTTTTTCATGTGAAGACAGAAAGATGGAGAGAGAGATGGAGAAGGAAGAGAGAGGGATAATGAGGGAGAGACAGAGATGAGTGAGAGAGACAAAGAGGTAGAAAGTAGAGAGATACAGAGGGAGACAGAGAGAGGGAGAAGTAAGAGATGGAGAGTGAGATAGAGGAGAGAGATGGAGAGTGGGGAGATAAAGAGAGAGGAGAGATACAGAGAGATAGGAGAGAGAGAGAGAGACTGAGTCTCTCTCGACTTCTCCTTCTCTGGGTCAGGTACACAGAACCAAAGGCACACCGCAGTAGACTCCAGCAGATCACTCCCATCTGTCTAATGGGTTCACTAGAGGCTCTGATTGGCTTCTGAGTCCTGAGTGACAGGACCAGGGGAACAGAGGAGAGACAGCACAGTGGTGTAACCTGAGCAAGAATTCCTGTGTGGACCCAGGGGAACAGAAAACCAAAAACCATGAGGTGAATCCTGAGGTGGGAGCTATTTCAACTGCTTGCATGTGGAGCCAGCAACAGTTGTCTTTTAGGTTCAGAGTGTGGACTGGGGTGACCCCAGATGAGGGCCCACCCTTGACACCTTGAGGGAAGAGTTTGGAACAGGGATACTGAACATTTCAACCTCTTTGCATAAGTATAGAAACTGGTAGGACATCTATATCATCAACTCACACTCCAAGGGAATATGGGCGATGTCGTAAATCTGACTTCTTCCTGGTGACGAGGGATGATGTGGGGGGTTGGGACTCAGGACTTGGAGGGTTCACATTCAGCAGGAAGTATGGGTGGAGATGTGTTCCCTTAGCTGCCATCCCGTAGACATCAGACATTTGTTCTTTGAGGAGGCAGAGAATGCAGGTTGGGTTAACCTCCTGCCATATTAGGAAGGTGCTGGTGGAGAGAGGCTGCTGTAAGTCCAGTCTGTGTCCAGCAGCACCATTCCAAACCCCATCCTCAGGGTGTCAAGGGCAGACCCTTCCCTGGAGTCACCTCAGTTCAGACTCAGTAATTAAATAGCCAGCCATTGACCCCCAGAGAATGGGAAAGGGACAAGAGCTCCTGAGCAAATAGGGAGCATGGGGGGATCAAAGGGCATTAGGAGAAAGAGAAGAGAAGAAGAGGAGGGGGGAGGATGATATGAAGGACCAGAAGGTTGAATCAGGGGAAGAATAGAGAAGGAGAGTGAGAAAAGAGAGACCATATTAGAGGGAGCCATTATTGGTTTAAAGAGAAATATTGCACTAGGTAAATGTCCAGAGATCCACAAGGATGACCCCAACTAAGAATCTAAGCCACCGTGGAGAGGCTACCTTAAATGCCCTTCCCCTATAATGAGATTGATGACTACCTTAAATGCCACTCTAGAGCCTTCATCCAGTAGCTGACAGAAGCAGAGGCAGACACCCACAGCTAAACACTGAACTGAACTCCTGGAATGCAGTTGCATAGTGGGAGGAGTGATGAGAAAAGGAGTCAAGACCAGGCTGGGGAAACCACAGAGACAGCTGACCTGCACAAGGAGGAGCTCATGGACCTCAGACTGACAGCTGGGAAACCAGCATAGGATGAAACCAGGCCCCCTGAATGTGGGTGTCAGTTAGGAGACCTGGGCAGTCTATGGGGCCTCTGGGAGTGAAACCAGTATTTATCCTTTGTGCATGAAAGGAATTTGGGAGCCCATTCCCCATGGAGTGATACTCTCTTTGCCTAGATATATGGTGAAGGGCCAATTTAAATAAAATTTATGAAAGCATAGGAAAGATGGGGGTGGTAAATACCTGAGCTAACAATTTCTGATGCCACAACCCTGATGTACTGAAGCTTCAGGGAACATTATAGACACTGTCCTGAACCAGTCACAGTTTCCCTTTGGTCTGTGGTCCTCCCACCAAACTCCATTGACCATATTCTTCTTGGATGACTTTGAAACCTTGAAATTCCTTCCTCCCCTTTGTAAGTGAAGATGAAGGTGGCTTCATCTTTACTTAGTGAAGCATTAGAATGATGGGATGAGTAACATGAGGAGTTCTGCTAGACTTAAAATTGACTTATCTCAGTGAGCCTGGGTTTCACCATCTACAGAAAAGGCCAAAACTCTTGCCCAGTCCTTTGACGAGTTATAACAGACTCCATGATAAGGAAAAAAATTTCTTAGAGTTGGAAGCCAGTGGACTTTAAGGCAAAAATACTGCCTTTGGTGGGTACCTTCTTCTGTTACTGGAGTTTGGACCAGAGCCTGTGTCCTGGCTACCATAACCACCCAGGTTCAGTCATTCACCCTCAGGAATCCAATTAAATGAACCAATTTATCAAGTGACACACCTAATTATAATGCTGGCACTCTGGAGTCAAGATGCGCAGATTTCTCTGGTATCCAGGACAACATATTCTATAGTGTGAGTTCTAGGTCAGATAGGGACTTACAGTAATGCTATTTTTAAAAAGAAGAGAAGAAAAATAACACAAAATGTAAAATGACAAAATTAATAAAAATTTAAAATTTATTTATTCATTTTGAGTAATTTGGAACAATAAAAACAACACGTTGAATAATCCATTACTGGGATGCTAACAGGCTGAGATAGAAGACAAATATATGCAAATCTAAATAATCTAATGAAGAAAAATAAAAGCTTTTCCCCATCTCTAAAGCACTCCCACATTCTCAGTTACTCTTTATCATGTAATTTAGTCAGATAAAGGTTTCTCCATTAGAGTCATTCTTACTTGGAAGACTCAAGTCTTTTCCCACAATGAGTTTCCCCAGGAAAATATATTTTTTTTGGTTTTTTGAGACAGGGTCTCTGTATTTTTTTTCTTGGAGCTGTCGTAGAACTTGCTTTGTAGACCAGCATGTTCTCGAACTCACAGAGATCCCCCTGCCTGTGCCTACAGAATACTGGGATTAAAGGAGTGCACCACCAATGCCCAGCATTAAAGTATAATTTTATGGGTTTCATTAGTTGTAGGTCTAAAGCAGACCCCATGAAGATGACTTACAATCTCCACATAACTGTCATGGTCTAAAAGCCTGTAATTACATTACAGACTCACACATATAATGGAAATTATTTTGTTTCATTTTGAATAAATCTGTTTGCCATGACATTATAAAGTCTCTCAGGATAATCCATTTGAAGTCATTACTTAAAGATAAAGTAAATCTTTTTTTTTCTTTTTTTTATTTTTTATTTTATTTTTTTTATTTTTTTATTAATTTTTTTTATTTTCCATTTTAAATTTAGATAAGAAACAAGGTTGCTTCACAAGTCAGTACGAGGTCCCTCTCCCTTTCCCTCCCCTCCTCCCGTGCCCTCCCCCATCCCCCCCCGTTATCCCCTCATTCCCCCAGGGAGGGTGAGGCCCTCCATGGGGGTGTCCATAGTCTGTCATTTCATATGGAGCAGGGCTTAGACCCTTCCCCAAGAGTTCAGGGTGAGAGTGCACCTCACATTGTTCTATGGGAGTCCAAAGTCCGTGTGTATACTTGGGATGGGTACTGATCTGCTGTCCAAGGCTCAATAGATTACCTAGGCCTCCTCACTGACACCCAGATTCAGGGGGTCTTGATCAGTCCCATGCTGGATTCCCAGGCTGATGCCTGGGATTCAAGAGTTAACCTTTGTCTGGTCAGCTGTTTCTGGGGGTTCAACCAGCCCAGTCTTAATCCCTTTGATCATCAGTCCTCCCTCTCTGATACTGGCTTTCTTGAGTTCAGCTCAGTACTTAACCAGCCAGTAAATGAAGTTTCTGTTTCCCAGACTCTCTGGCAATAGGATTGTAGGCTGGCACTCCCCAGATCTATGTCTAAAATCCATATATGAGAGAGTACATGCCATGTTTCTCTTTTTGTGACTGGGTTACCTCACTCAGGATGGTTTCTTCTAGTGTCATCCATTTGCCTGCGAATCTCATGATTCCGTTATTTTTTTCTGCTGAATAGTACTCCATTGTGTAGATGTACCACATTTTCTCTATCCATTCTTCGGGTGAGGGACATCTAGGTTGCTTCCAAGTTCTGGCTATTACAAATAAAGCTGCTATGAACATAGTGGAACAGACCTCTTT